GCACATCATGCCTCTAGGCGTGAGCACAATGCTTGGCTCCCTTCCCCACCCGGGCCCTGGTCCTCCATTGTGCCAAAGGTACCTTGTTGTCCCTGTTGCCAAGGTTCTACCCTGGGCTCTGCTGTCCAGCAGAGTCTCATGCAGGCCGTGTGAATGTGTGTCCTCCAAATACCCAGGCACATTTAAACATCAGCTTGGCAGATTCTCTAGAAACCAAGTAGAAACTGATATGGAGTCGCTGTGGGCCAGCCCCAGGAAGAGCGCCCTCCACAAGCCAGGTTCTCCGAGGCATGGGCCCTCATAGGACATGGCCACCCATAGAATATTTGTGCATGGTAGCAGCTCAGAGCAGTTTTGTGCAAATTCTTCAATTTCCCACCAACATCTCTTCTGTTTTAGGGTTTACTGAGTTATCTGGCTCCTCAGTCTACTCTATTCTGACGTCATTTCTCCAGGGGTTCCTTGGTTTTTGTGACCTCAACATTTTTAAAAAATTTTTTTTTTATTTTAAAGAGTAAAAGAAGGACAACAAAGCAGTAGGGGGATACACCGAATTACAGACAAAGTGGTAGGACCTTATCAATGGTTGTTATTTTACCTATTGGTATCTTCAAGGTAGTTTCTCAGGAAAACAAATAGACAAGTAATAGTGAGTTACAGACAGAAATGGCAGGAAATTATCAATGGTTATTGTACTATATCCTGGTTTCTCCAAAGTGGTCTCTAGGGAAAACAAACAGAGCTATACATGAGTGATCAATCAAATAATCATTGCCTATTCTCAGTGGTTGTTGTTGCAAGCACATAGTAACAAACATCCATTTACAAAGTAGCATAGGAGCAATACAAACATTACAGAGTTATGGACAGATTGGTAGGAAATCATCAATGGCTGCTGCAATACATGTTGGCATCCTCCAAGTGGTTTCTCAGGAAAACAAAGATATGCAAGAAAGGTCCAACAAGTAGTTACAGTCCAAGGGTTGTGAAAAATAGCAGGTTACCTCATCAGTGACTCCCCTCACTGAGGTATGAGGGCTGGAAGGAAAGCCAGTATTGAAAAGAAGGACCAAGAGACCAGCACCAGTGTCCAGCAACGGGCTACCCACTTTTCCCTCCATACTCATGATTTGGCGGGGCTCCTCCTTCTCCATGAAGGCGGTTCTACAGAATCTGAATATTGGACACCCATGTAATCCATGAAGTCTCGGTGCAGACCTCTCCGGAGCTCCACCGAAGCCTGTACAGTTAGGGGGAGAATGGCCTCCAGGGGGTTCTCCCCAGGCTTTGTGCAAGGTCCTCCTGGTTTCCAGCTCCCCAATGGCTCTCGCGTCCCCAGTCAGCTCGACCTCTGAGTCTTCGGGCGTCTGTACTCTAGTGTTCACTGTGTTCTTGTTCATCAGCTGCTCCTCCGCCGACTCCGGACCTCTCTGGCTCTCAAGGGCAGGGCCAAGAGCGACCCGCCGTGTGGCATGTTTTCCCAGAGGTTTCTCCATGTCGGGATGGTTCACGCACGTCTCCGGGCGGGCCTATTGTGTCGGTGCTTCTTTGTGGCATGGAGGTTCTTGACCGCGCTGCGCTGCATTGGCCGGCCCTAGGGCCGGTGTGCATCTCCGAACCGCTTCCCGGGTGCCTGCTGCCTGCCTTTCCCGGCGCCAGCGGCGGGGCCGCCTGGGCGGGGCGCCTGAGCAGCGGGGTCTGAGCCGGGTGGTGAGGGCCGGCGCGCCCTAGCCAGGCAGCCCAACCTCAACATTTTTGAAGAGTACTGCTCAGATGTTTTGTAGAATGCCCCTCAAGTTGGGTTTGTGTGATGTTCTCTCAAGCTTAAAAGAGGGTTCTGGGTTTGGGGAGGAAACCTACAGAAGTAGATGTTCTCATCCCAGGGTACCAGGAATGTGTGGTGTCCTCATGGCTCATTGCAGCTGAGGTTGACCTAATCATTTGGGTCAGGAGGTGTCTGCTGAGGCCCACTGCCAAGATCCAGCAGGTTGAGCGGGTGGAGATCCAATGGATTGAGCATACTTAATGTGAAAATCTGAAGCTTTTTGAGTGTTACATCAGCTCTCAAAAAGTTTAGAACTTTGGAGCATTTCAGATTTCATGTTTCTAGATTAGGAATACTCAACTGGTAAAGTCTATGCAACTGTTTTAAAATCTGAAAAACTCTGAAATCCAAAACACTTCTGAACCCAAGCACTTTGAATAAGAGATCTTCAACCTGTATTAATTCCTGGATTCCTGAGCCGCTGGTCTTGCCCACACCATGGAGGAGCATTAAGTTTCATCTCTTGAAGGCAGGAGATTCGTGAACATGTGGGCCTGTGTTGGAACCAGCATCATTAACTAAGGATATTTGGAGGGAGACAGTCTGTCCCTGTATAAATACCACGTCTCTCCTTAGAGTTAGCATTTATCAGTGGGTTCTGCCTGCAGGTTACTGCTCGGGTGTTCTCATGGGAACTTTCTTTGGGGGCGGGGCACTCTGTTTCCCTCATTTCTCTTTGCTTCCCTTTTTTTAGAAGTCTACTTTAGTTGAAACTAGTGAGGAACACCTGTGAGGAAAGCTTTTCTCTTCTTCCCCATTTATTTATATGTTTACTCATGAAAATGGACTTGTGGGGACTCATTTCATTCTTTGAGTTAATATCCTGATACTGTCAGCATTTATCACTCAGCTCTTTCCAGCTTTGAGGCCTATATCTTTTTGATGTGCCACTACCTTTTACTTTATTTTTTAAGTATTTCTATTTTTTTCTGGTGCTACTTGAAAGATACTGTCTTGGTTACTTTTCTCTTGTTGCTGAGACAAAATATGCAATGCCCAAAATTAAGGAAAGAAAGATTTATGTAGCTCACAGTTTGTGGAGGTTTCAGTTCATAATCAGCTGGCTCCAACGCAGGGTGGCACATGGCAGAAGGCAATAGTTCATGGCGCTGGCAGAAAACAGCAAAAGCAACAAGAGCAAAAAGGAGGAGCAGCTGGAAGAGCAAGCCTCTTTCCCTCCCTTATATTGTATGCAAGCTCCCCGCCCCAGCGCGGGTGTAGCACTCACACGCATTATCCCAGCATTGGACCATGGATCAATCAAAAACTCTAGAAGCCCGCCCCATAACTGCATGAGGCTTTGAGCGGACATCCAGATACAAACCGTAACAGATGCTTAAAACTCACCTTATTTTCTTCCCTCACCCCAACCCCAGCATTACCATTTCTTTAGAAACCTGGCTTCTATGTTTAGAGAATGGGATTAACTGAGCTCTGGGTACTAGAGGGTTTGTTGCTTCTAGGTGCTTCGGGTGGGCAATGTTGGAGGACATGTTGCCCACACTCCTGTGCATATCTGCATTCATCTCTGTGTGTCTGAGCATGTATGTGACATACACACTTGCTGACCTCTGATTTCTGATAATCACCCCACAGACCCAACCTCTGTAGCTCTCTGTGAGGGAGAAACTCAGTTCTCACCATCCACCACTGTTATGTGTCTGTTCCACCCTAGTAGGTATGTGCAAAATGTTCAGAACTGCTGCCTCTCTTCCCCTGAGAAACTAAACTAGCTGTGGTGGCACATGCCTGTCATCCCTGCACTCTGGGAGGTGGAGGCAGGAGGACCACAAGCTTGAGCCCAGCCTGGGCAACTTAGTGAGACCCTATCTCAAAATTGAAAGGAAGGAAGGAAGGAAGGAGGGAAGGAAGGAAGGAAGGAAGGAAGGAAGGAAGAAAAAAAGAAAGAAAGAAAGAAAGAAAGAAAAAGAGAGAGACAGGGAGGGAGGGAAGGAAGGAGGAAGGAAGAAAAAGAAAGAAAGAAAAAGAGGAAGGAAGGAAGAGAGGGAAGGAGGGAGGGAGAGAAGAAGGAAGGAACAAAGGAAGGAAGGGAGAAGAGAGAGAAAAAGAAGAGGGAAAGGGAAAAGGAGGTGTGGGCATGTAGCTCAGTGCAAAGGCCATGGGTTTAATCTCCAGTACCACCAAAAGAAATAAAGAAGAGGAGGAGTAAGAAAGGAAAAAGGAAAGAAACCACGTCACCACTTGGCTCCCTGTATTTCAGCAGTTACATTTCTCTTTAACCAAAACACTCCCCAAGCCCTTCAGGTCAGCTTCCCCTCCTACCCTACAGTGCAGTGGGTCATCTACTTTGTCAGTGTTTGGTCCTTCTAGGACTCCCAGCGTCTCATTCAATTGGCTCTTTCTGCCATGCACGGTGACGTTCACTCTGTGTGTGTGCAGTTCTGTCTTGCAGATGCAGAGTCCTGCAGCTGCTTCCCCAGGACCACACAGAGCAGTCTGTTGCTTTGCTGGGCCCAGAGCTGCCTGCTGCGGGGAGTTTTCCCCATGGTTCTCTACCTGTTTCATGCCTTTTCTAGAATGTCACAGGAGCACGGATCCTTTCAGGTCGTTTTTTTTTGTGTGTTTTTTTTTTTCACTCAGCAGATCATTTCTGAGCTTCCTCCAGGCTCTTGCATGGGTCAACAGTTGGCTCCTTTCCGTTTCTGGTGGTATTCCATGGTGTGGTCAGGAGAACAGGGTTATTTCCTGTTTGGGTGATAACAGGTAGAGCTGTTGTAAGCATTCTTGTATGGGTTTTTAAAATAAATGTAGGTTTGAAATTCACTTCAGAAAAGACCTGAGTGAGACTGCTGGATCTTTAAACCTATCTCAAGAGAGAAGAAAGGAAGGTGGAAGGGAGGGTGGGCCATGCATCCGTGGGACAGGGAATAGCAGGAGGGCCCTGGAGGCTGGTCAGGGGCCCGAGCACCCATGTCTCCAGTCTCTTGTGAGTCCTGGCACTGGGTACCTTGGGTGCAGACTCAGGTGTGAGTACCAGGTGAAAAGGCTTTGCTCACCCAAGGTCCCCGGCCTGGGATGGTCTGGTACTCACCACAGCTGCTCTCTCCAGAAATGTGGCCACCTTCACCCTTAAGGAGCTGAGGGCCCAGTACTTGTCTGGAATGGTATATATGTGCTTTCTGGGTTTCACAGCCCCTTCCTTTTGCTTTGTCAGTCAGGGCCGGGACCTGCGACTGTGCCTGTGGGACCTGGCAGAGGGCCGAAATGCTGTTGTGGACTCCGTGTGCCTGGAGAGTGTGGGCTTCTGCCGGAGCTCTGTTCTGGCTGAGGGGCAGGCACGCTGGATGCTTGCAGTGCCAGGGAAGGGCACTGACGAGGTGAGGACCAGCTCTCCTGATGCCCTTTGTTCTGTAAGCCACTAGGGGCTGGGTTTCTTGTAAACAGAAGTGCTTATCCTGCATGCCTGGTGAAGAGGCATCCCCGGCTGCCTGTTGGGCTCTGAAAGCTGCTGTGTGCTGGCATAGTGGCCACTTGCTTGGCTGCAGCTCTGGTGGCCTTAGGCTGCTGCACGGCTGGCTCTGCCTTGGCCTGGTTGTCTGTGAAGTAGGCTAGGGTGAGCCATCCTTCCGGGGTGGTGGTGAGAATCAGCAGGGGCCAAAGGGAGGTGCTCTTGCCTTGGAGGCCTTGGAACCCAGTGGAGTAATAATCATGGAGGAGAGCAGCCAGGGATAGCTGACTGTGCAGACCTGAAGCCACATGTGCGGTTGGGGGAGAAACCTCTGAGTTCCTGTGGGTACTTAAACCAAAGCAGGAGGAACATTTGGGTGACGGCAGGAGGCAGGAGATGAGAAACCGAGGCCCTGGTAAACTAGAATGCAGGGCGCTACAGTGGCAGTCATAGGCTGGGGAACAGATGAGCAGAGGAATGTGTAGAGGAGAAGACTCCAGAAGGCAGGGAGGTCACTGTTTGACTCAAGGTCAGAGCAACAGGAGGAGGTACTAGTGCTATGCACCTGGTCAGGTAACAGGAGGAGGTATTAGAGCTATGCACCTGGTCAGGTTGCAGAGTATTGTCCACACCTTAGGGATAAAGGAAGCAGAGTCCACCAAGGAAGGGTACCCAGGATATAAGGAAAGGTAGGACATGGGAAGCCAGGGCAGAGGACAGCATAAAGGGGGTGGGGTGATGAGACCACAGGCCCAGCTTCTGGAGAGAGTGGAAAAGGACCTAAGAGTGGTGATTGTCAGGCTTGGTAGGTGTGTGGGACCATTGCAGAGGCAGGAGGCTGGGAAGGGGCTATCGGCCATCCCCTTGTAGGCTCATAGTCCTTTGTGGCCAGTGGTGCCAGGCAGGGAAGCTCCTACCAGTGCCGGCAGATCAAGCCTGTACACTTGGTTAGGCTTGGCCCCCACTCAAGAAGTCATTTTTGTCTTCAAGCAAAGCCGGTTCATAAATAATGAGATAGGAACAGGCATTTATTTGTTCATGATTACATTTAAATCACCAATTAGAAGCTACATACACTTTTCTTGCCAATTTGCCAAAAACCTGTTAAAAGTTTTATTAATGTGAGAAGGAGGGGCATGCTTCTTCCTGGATGGCGGGAGCAGGCGGTGGCAGCTTCTCCCCAGCTGCAGACCCATGAAATGCCATTCTGAGGTTTGAGAGAGTTCATTCCCAAGGGCGGTGCTGCTGGCCATCCTCCATGTGCTCTCATCTCAGCCAGGCCCAGGCCACTGGCTGGTGCATGGTTAGCCTGCCGCTTCCCTTGCTGGAGGCCATCCCCTCTGTGGTTTTAACCAGCTTCCTGTCCCCCAGTTCTCCCAGTACAGGCAGCATTGGTAGTATTTTTCAGGAACAGTCAGTCTGGGAACCTTGCATGTCCTGGGAAAATGGTTGTTTTCCACATTCTCACCTGGAATATGCCTGGACTGAGCCCTGGAAAAGCATTGCTGGCCTATGCCCAGACAATGCCTGGGGAGCATATTCCTGCCCTGCTCAGCTGTCTGGGTGGCCACACTTGCCCAAACCCAACTTTTTCCTTCTGGAAACAAAACTTGCAGTTGGGTGCCAGATGGAAAGCACCTAGTGTCTGAAGGCTCTGACTACAGCAAGACCAGGAGCTCCTTCTCTGACAGCACAAAGCCTGGATCGGGATGCCTGGGCCAGGTGGTTGTGTACCTGCCCCTTGATGCCCAGGACCTGGGCTCTGTACTGTGCAGCATGTAGGATGACACGTCAAGAAACGGCTATTCCCACATTCCCTGCTGTACTTCCCAACCTAAGCCCTCAGGCTGCCCTGAGTTTTACTCTCACCCCTCTTCTAACAGAAAGCAGATTTGCTATACAAACCCTTGCCTGCACCTTCTGGCCCCTTGCCCTCAAGCCCCTCTGCAGTGCTACCTGAGGGGTCTTTCTGAGCCCACAGATCAGGGTAGTCCTCAGTTATAAATTGTGGACTGTGCAGACTACATGTCCTGTGACTTCTGCCTTCCCCCAGCTACCCCAGGAAATGTGCGTACTGAGGGCTCCTTCTGCCTGCAGCATTTGGGTCATAACTCAACCCTGGCCTGGTGCCCACGCCCTGCAGGCTGTGCTTTGTACCTTTAGCTCTTCACACAGTGACAGTGGTGGATTCTTCAAGGAGGAACTTGGTAATAGAGTCTGTATTATCCTACAGAAAGCAAAGAGGGGCTCAGAGCTCCCCCTCTGGCTTCTCCTGGGTCCCTTGTTGCTCTGGCCTCACCTTAGTTCTCCTGGATCTTGGCAGAGTGCTCTCATCAGCGTCCCCATGTGGCTCAGCCTTAGATATATGCATGCACGTTTGTTTGTGTGCTTGTGTGCCTGAATGTGTACACTTAGTGTACATGTGTGCGTTCTGTGTCTGACTCATCTTTTGCAGCAGGTGGGACAGAGCTGTGAGCTGTCCTCTGGTGCGCAGCTGTTCAAAGCTGGGCCACTGTGGGGACCCTGGTAAGAGCACTGTGCCCTGAGAGCACCACAACCTGGCCCACCTGTCAGGGGTGGGTATGTCAACAGGACTCTAGCTGAAGGACCAGGCTGCATGTTCATCTCTCTGCTCTGCCTGGAGGCTGCCTGGGAACAACCCTCCAGCATGCATATGGTACATGTAGAACTCAGAACCAGGGGACCAGGCATGTTTTCTTATGTAGAGTAGTGAGGGCAGTGCAGCTTTTACCTGTCCAAGCACTGGCCCTTTAGACACTGTCTGCCTAGCCTGAGAGGCCAGCTAGTGTGAGTTCTATCCAGTTGACATCCCAACTTCTGTGGACCACAGGCTCCCCATGCATAAACCAGGGAATGCCCAGGGCTAGCCTTGCTGTCAAGTTTGGCTCTGCACATTGATGTTCTTGACACATTATTGGTAGACAGGGAAGTTCTGGGCCAACATCCCTTACCCCAGTTTACAGAGTCATGACAGAGAGCACAGGCATACCTAGCTGGCAGTAGAACCACCCAACACTACAAACACAAGGCAGGAGAGCATTTAGCTGCCCAGTGTCATGTGGGAGCACACTGCTCCTCTGAGCTCACAGGAGGGGATGCCCAGTCCCAACTAGGTGGTTGAGGGAACCCAAGCACTTAGGGACACAGCACAGCTAGGGGCACAGTTCCTGTCTGTGGTGTTCAGTGACTAAGTCTACTCCTTACGGCCTTGACCATCCCTTAGGGATGGTGCTGAGCAAAGTCTGGCCTGGCTGGTGAGTAGACGGGCAGCCCACTCAAGTTAACACACTGGCCTGTGAGTCCTGGCTGTATGGGCCACAAGACACACCTTCCAGCCTAGGTGCAGGAGGGCCCAGCACCCACACAGCCTGGATATTCAGGATAGCACTCAGGGCCTGGAAAGCCAAGGTCCAAATGGTGCTCCCCTTGGTGCCCACATCTTGCTCATTTCTTAGGCTGATGGTGGGTTTAAGGTGCTCCTGTGCATTTGATACTCCTGAGAGTGCATAGAGTGATTTCTGCATCGAGTAAAACCTACACTGAGGAAGGAGGCAAGCAGAGATGGGAGAATGACCAGGCTAAATTAGGGCTGGCTGAGCCCGGCCTGTTCTACCTTGATGGCAAAATCAAGAGAAGTCAAAAGCAGCCACCACCAGTCTGTCACAGGCTGGTCACTCAGGAATGATGTGAGCACTTGTTGCGCAATGGCCCTGCAGCGCCCAAGCCCATGATCCTGTAAAGCCTAATTAGGAGACTCGGCTCCCAGGTCCTACAGGGAGGGGAGCAGACAGAAACTTGCTGCAACCTTGGCTAATCGCCTTAAAAGTCTCTTGTTTGTATAGCACAAACTTGACTTGGCATCAACCCAAATCAACTTGTTTTCTTACTGTCAGGTTCAGATTCTGGAGATGCCATCCAAGACGTCAGTGTGCACCCTGAAGCCGGAGGCAGATGCCAAGCCAGGCATGCCCATGTGCCTGCGGCTGTGGCAGGTAAGGCGGGCGTACGCCAGCCCCGCCCTGCAACCACGCCTGCCAGCTATGAGTCAGGCCCCATTCAGGGTTTGATTTGTCGTCAGATCAATGGGACAAGACCCCCTTCAGAGAACACGAGCAGGCCACTTTCTGTGGCCCCTGTATCCTTGGCTGAACCTCTGCTTCCTCTGGTAGCTGCTGCTGCTGCTGTTGCTGCTTTGAAAGGGCTCCTGAAAATCCCTCAGTCCTCCAAATCCCTCGCTCCTCCCTCTGGGATGCCTCCTGATGGTGGCCATGGGGGGCGGGGACAATCAGGTCATCTGCCTGGCCTGTTCTGTAGAGGGATGTGTGCCCTTCTTCTGTCTTCCTGATCTCAGACTGCCAAGGCCAAAAGGAAAAATGCTGACTAACCTCGGCAAGCCCACGCCGCCCTTGCCATGCTTGGGATTAATTTATGTTACCTCTTTACCTCTTAGAAGTAGGAGTGGGCTTAATACAATGACTTTCCCTGAAGCCATTTCCTACTTTTTCTATTATACTTTCATGTTAGAGAAGGTCAGGAGCACTTCAGAGCTGGCAGTGAAAGCTGGGCACAAGTGGGCGTCACAGTTGGGATTTGGGAGGGATCCTCCCAGCCCTTCTCAAGGTGAGACCTGCTCCCACCACACCCCCCAACGCACTGGCTCAGCTGTTAAGTTTCTCCTTCTGGGGTCATCCATGCCTAGGGCTACAAAGCATATGGTTTAGGGTGTTAATTTCTGAAGAATCCCAGAAGCCTCAGCCTTAAGCCTCTTCATTGGTGCAGAAACCATGGTGGATAAGTCATCGAGCAGCACCCCCTCAGGAGCAGTTGGTGATCCCTGCACCATCTTCTTGGTTCTGTTCAGTTCTTAGAGCTGTGCTTTGCTGGGCTCTGGTCAGGAGGAGGCCTCTTTGAACTCTTTTTAAGAATTAGATGATGTTAGGAGGTATCTGCATGCCCCACGAGAACCTTCCAGACACCCCCATAGGTACTGTACTTCTGTCTATCCATGTGAGAAGACTGATGGCCTTCTTTCCAGTTGACTCCTCCTCTGCAGTTTCTTGATGGAGAAGGTTCAGATTGGAATTTGGGGTCTCCAATAAGCTGATCCTTGCGCACTGCCTCTGCCACGCAGCCTGAGAGAGAAGCCCCAGGGGGTTTGAGGCCTGGAGACTTTGGAGAGACTTGCCTAAAATAGCAAAGCTCCTGAAGCCAGCAGTTTTATTCTCATCCTGCAACAGAAACTGCAGCAGAGCCTGGGTCACTATCCTCCTTATGTCCAGATAGGCAGACAGGGCTCCCTGAGGACTCACGGGTGTGTTCTTGGAGGAGAAGGTCCCCGCACCGCACTTCCCAGCCGGCTCCTGCAGAAGTGCCCCAGGCAGTAACCATAGTGCTCTCAGGTCCTGGGGCAGGAGTTCCCCACTGCTCCTACTCCTGTTCTGCTCCCTGGGAAATGTGGGATGTTGTGTAATCATGTAAAAATTCCAGCAGAAAAATGTGTAGAAAGGGATGTACAAACTTGTTAAGGTAATTAATGTAGTTGACAGAAGGACAAATCACAGTTTTGTTGGTAATATGGATGCAACATGAAGCCTCTAGAAAAGCTAGCCTCCAGTGTTCCTTTTTTCTCCCCAAACCTGTAGGTCTAATTATAAATTTAGTCTGACTGTGGCAAAGTGACCAGACTTGGTGGTTTTTTTTCTGTAACACTTAGTGTATTCTTATTTTCCAACTCAAAACAACCAATCTGTATTATTAGAATAATTACTGCATAAAAAGCCAGCATGTAAATCAGGCCTGAGGCAGCATCCCTGGCACCAGCTCTCAGAGCAGCCCCCAGTCTTGCACCCAAGATTGTGTGCAGAGTGCTGGCTGCTCCCCATGGGAACTCAGATGCTGCATACCAAGGGACAGGAGGAGCTGCAGAGCAAGTCTTTGTTTCCAGGTCTCAGTTGAGGGAGAGGGGAGGAGCCAGAGAAAGCAGATCAGAATGACTTCAGATCCTCAGCCTACAGAGGTTGGGCAGCACGCGCAAGCACTGTCTGGCCTATGGAATCTATTCCTGGGAGGCTGTGGGGACTCCAGGTACAGCAGAGAGCAAGGTAGTTGAAACCATAGGGCAAGCACCTCCAGAACAAACTGGAGACTCCAGCTATCCCATGGAGCCATGACAGATGGGTAGCCACACATAGCCCCTGGATTAGGTGTAGTGCTCAGAACTCAGAGGCCACAGCATGATGCAGAGACTGACCAGAACCAATGTCAGTGATGAAAGGAGTTCCTAGAGACTTCAGCTCAGAAAACACAGAAGGAAAGAGTCCCACAGGGAAGGCAGAGGGAGGGCTCAGCCAAGATTGCTGGGCTTGGGACTAGGTGCCACCAGAGCACAGTGCCACAGTGGAGTGACTCTCAGTGGCCCCAGGTGAATTCTTAGAAGTTGGCCTCTGGGGCAGGGTCCAGCAGGTGGCCACACCTTGGCTGGTGGCAGAGGCTAACATGTTCCTGGTTAGGCTGCAGAGGGTTCCAGGTTTTTCTCACCTGGCTTTGACCCTTCCTTGGATACCAACTTTGCCCAGAGTGACCCAGCTGGAGAGGAATGCCTGCCCACAAGGTGTTGCCATGTAGACGGCCTGACTGTTTAATGTGCCCTCCATTCACATATGGGAGAGGAGTAGCATAGCCTGCACGAATCATCTCTGAGCAAATGATCTGAAAAACATCAGCATGGGGCCCTTCCTTGTAATGGAGGCACAGGAACAGTGCAGCTGCACAGCCAGGCCTTCTGCAGGGTGGAGGCAGGACTATCTTGGGGCGCTGGGCACACCTGGAAACCGAAGACAGTCCTGCATCTCAGGGTGCCAGTCAAAGGGCAGAGCTGGGGCTTTGGCAATAGAAGAGAACAATTCCAGGTGATGCCTGAGAGGAATCACTCAAGAGGTTGCACAGCAGCCTTGTGCCTCCTTCCAGGAGCCTCCCTCTCCCGTTCTATGTTTGTGAATTGGAAGTACTGTCAGAACATAATCAGCTTACAAGCCATTTCTGGGGACATATGGTAGCCTCCTCTGTTCCAGCTCTGGCTTGACAGATTTGCTGTGCCCGTGTGCAAGCCCAGTGGCTGTGTCCTTCCCATCTCTGGCAGGCATCCTCCAACCCAGACATGGTTCTCCCAGCTCTCGTCACACAACCCCCAGCCTCACTTTGTGACACTGAGGACCCTGTGCCATTTGAAGATATTGTCCACTGGTTAAATACATGCCCTGGGCCTCTGCCTAAACCAGGCTTCCCTGCTCAGCCACGTGAGGTTTCTCTTGGGCCTCTGCTTAGTGCCAGGACTGATGGCTGTGTCCCCCAGGGTGACTTGGAATCCTGCAGCGCTCCTCTTCTGTAGTTGTTTTAGAGGCTAAATAAACGAGGCGTTCGCCCAGGGCACGGAGCCCTCTGACCCTCACCCTCATTCATCATGATAGCAAGGGCCGCTAGAGTTCCACGAGCACCAGGCTTCCAGGGGTGGGGGCTTCCGCAGCCACGCTGACAAAGCACACAAAGTTCATTTTTCACGGAGATGGAACTTGTGATTTTCCTGGCTGGGGGTTCTAGACAGGTGACCATCCCAGCAAGGAGTGGCTTCAAATTTGTGGCCTAGGAGAGGAGGCAGGAAAAACGGGTCCCTGACAGCCCCTGAAGCCTTGGTGGGTGCCCAGTGCCTCCCCTTTCAGGCATAAACCAGTGCTAGCAGGTGTCAGGCCTGGGGGCTGGTGAAAAGTGGCCACATGAGGCCTGGGGGCCCCCGGGTGCACAGCAGGGGTTTTCCCAGGCTCATGGCAGTGCTGTCGGGCACAGGTGAGCCTGCATAGGGAGGCACTGGGGTACAGAGTCTCAGGACTGTTGGCTCCATGGAAAGCACAGGAAAGTGCTCCCTGACTGTGCTGCCCTATCTTTGCCTCTCTCCAAAGTCCTGTTTCCCTAAAACTCACTGAAGGCCAGACCCTTCTGGGAGCTGACGGTTATGCTATTCCCCACAGGCAGAGTCCAGTTCCCGCCCCTTCCTTCTGGCTGGCTATGAGGACGGATCTGTGGCCCTGTGGGATGTCTGGGAGCGGAAGGTGTGCAGCCGTGTCTCCTGCCACGAGGAGCCCGTCATGGGCCTTGACTTCGACTCTCAGAGGGCTCGGGGCGTCTCTGGCTCCGCAGGGAAGGCACTGGCTGTCTGGAGCCTAGATGGGCAGCAGACCCTGCAGGTCAGTGTGCTGGGCCCTGGGCCTCATTTATCCTGCTCTGCACTAACAGTCTGATAGGCTGAAACAATATTTAGGCATGAAGAGGAGCTGCCGCAGATCCCTGGCTAATTAATCACTCGGAGGCGGTGCAGGCGGGCTTGTCCAAGGCTGTTGCAGGAGGAAGGGGGCGTGGATGTGGGCCAGCCCTTCACATGGTTTGGGTTTCTCCCAGACCTCAGGTTAACAGCCGTCACGTCTTGTCCATCTAGAGAAAGGCACGTAGAGTACAGGCAGACCCAAACCCCTTTGTGAAAACTCAGAGGAATTTGGCCAGTAAGGAACTGATTAATCAAAAACAAAACAAAAAACCTATAGAAAGTTCCACGGAGCCATGGCCCCCAGTGGTGGTCTGCAAGTTGGCCCTAGGAGGCTGTTATTCAATGCCAGCAAGAAAGTCCATGGGCAGAGGCATGAGGTCTTGGGGTTGAGTGAGGGTTGCTGGAGATCCCCCCATGATGTTTTGTGGACTGTCCCAGCTGGTGTGTCTTGAGATGGCCTGGTGTCAACGTCTGGATTTTTGACCACAGGGCCCAGCACAGGGTGGCCCAGCCTGCGCGTTTCACTCCATATAGTATGGGAAAGCACAGCTCTGCAAGGTCCCGCCCAGCAGAGCCCGGTGAGGAGAGGGGATGGGAATGTGGGATCCAACGTCAGCAGGGCATGTGTTCACACCTCCTGGGACCCACTTTATGCTTGCAAGACAAACCTGTGCAGCATGGTGAACTCAGAGTAAACCTGTCCTATCTGTCTGTCCATTCTTCCATCTTCAGTGTCCTGAAGAGGCCAGTGAAGGCCCTGGCACCAAGGGCGGAGCTTCTCATGCATCTACCTAGAAGGAAGGGTATCTGAGGCCTCAGAATGGTGGGCTGGGGTGGGGAGTGGGTCCGAAAGCCATGGTAGTGATGGTCATTTTTAGAACTGGAGGCTGAGTCACTCTGGGTGCTGGGTCTGCGTGTTCTGAGTTTCCACCTGATGGGCGTGGGAGTCTCTCCCTCATATCCCTCCCTCCTGCTCTACGGGCCCCAGTGTTTGTCCCACTATGAGTTGACTCTCATTGACCTGACTTGACAAAGAGCTGAAGCGCAGGCAGCTTCTCCGAGAGCTCTTAGCTCCCACCTAAGCTCCCTGCACCCCAGGCCCCAGGAAGGAGGCATCCTGCCCATGTCTGCTCAGCCTCTCCTGGAGTGTTTGGGAAACAGCTGCTGGAACTTAAGACTTAAATTTATGGGGCATGTTCCAGTCCAGAGACGAACTTTTACTCTACTAATGAATTGAAAAGTTAAAGCAGAAGGGGGAAGCAGGAATAAATGAATTGAAAAGTTAAAGCAGAAGGGAAGGCAGGGATTTTAGCCTGGAAGTAGTTGGGGTAATGGTGGGCGCTGGGTAGATCCTGGCTCAGCCAAGCACATCAAAGGAGGAGGAGAGGCCCCCCCAACCCCCACTGAGCACTGTGCTGCTGGGGGGGATGTCCTGGGGGGATAGAGAACAATCTAGGGGGAGGGTGAAGGTGTCCCTCTCTTCTGTCTCTGTTTCTCTTCTCTCACTCCCTCTTGGTATGGTACTAGAAATTTAACCAAGGACCTTTGTACTAAGCTACATTCCCAGCCCTTTTTTGTTTTAAGGGTCTCACTAAGTAGCTCAGTTGCCCAGGCTGAGTTCAACATTGTGTTCTTCTTGCCTCAACCTCCCAGAGTGCTGGGATTATAGCTGTGTGCCACCAGCCTGGCAAAGGCATCAAAGTCTCATCCTCAGAGGTCCTGGAGATGTCGGGTAGATCCCAGGCCTCTGGGAGGAAGCATCCAAGGTGCTTTGCTATCTGAGGGTCTTTGACATCTGGGAGCAGGTGAGGTAGCCTTGAGCCCTTGGTATCCACAAGCATCCTCACCCATGCCATGATACTGCAATATGGCTGTCTGCCTTGGCCCAAGAGCCACATAAGCGCAGATGTGCCTTGTTTGTGTCCTCTTGTTCAAACCTCTGTTGAGCCCAAATCAGCCTCTCCCAGGCAGGCACTAGGAGCAGAGATGTGGATGAGGTTCCCTGCAGCAGAGCGTGGGTAATCAGAACCAGATGGCGGCCGTGCCGTGCATTCCTGGCACCTGAGGTCATGTGCTATAAGAGCCACTGGTGGCCAGAGATCCTTCCTGGAGGGTCCCAACCCTGGCCGAGGCTCAGCAAGAGGCCATAGCAGTGACCAGGAGGCTACCTGCTCAGGACAATGCCCAAGAGGTACCTTGGTGACGCCAGAGCTGCATGCTTGCCTTACTAAGGTGGCTTTCCTGCTCGCCATCAGATTTGGACCTCAGCTGTCGTCAGATACAGGTGGTACACAGGCCCTGTTCCTTCCTCCTCTATTTGGGGCAGGGCCCATAGCCTTGAAGCAGGGACTGATTTATAGCCAGTAGTATTTTTAGGTCTTTAAGTAATAATGAGGCTCCCCTACCCCATCATCTCTGGGCTGGGAGCAAACGTGCTATGCTCTCCACTCATTGCGCTCTATCAGCGTCCAAGCTGCACCAGAGCAATGGCCTATGCCTTCCCTCTCCTTGGGTTCACCAGGGACTTCTCTTTAAATAGTAGCAGTAGAGCTGCCAGGCCAGGAGCTACTGGCTGGAGCCCGCTGCACACCTAGAGTGACCACGTCCACTGTAACAGGAGACAAGGATTGCCTCAGGATTTAGGCACAATCCATGTCACAAGGCTCTGGCTAGTCTCCCTGCATCTTCCCAGTGTCTCCCTTCTTGCCTGCCAGGAACCTGGTCCTCCTGCTGGGCTGTCTCTGCCTTGATGTCCTCACCCATTTCCAAGAGTGGCTACAGTGGATATAAATCACTCCTGTTGCCACCAAGCTGGTGGGTTAGCAGAGCCAAACCCCTGAGCAAGAGCTGGATATCTGAGCCCTTTGCAGATACAGATACTGCACAGAGGTGTGAGGAAGCTGGTGTGGGCAGCCCTCTCCCTGGCACCCACCTCCTGCCCTAAAGACTGAAGTGCAGAGCTCAGCAGCAGGGTGCTGGTTTGGAAGCAGCTCTTCTCTCTTTTGGAAGCATCATAGATAAGAAATTCTTATGAAGAGGGAATAGCAAGGAGCCTGGGACAGAGCCCTGGGTCCACTCCAATGAGGACCACTGCTTGCCCCCCAGAGGTTTCTTCTTTGCCACTGACCCAGGGCAGCATTCACAGGAGAGAAAAGGATGACATGTCAAGCAACCTGCTGGTCTGGTTCCTAGGCACTCTGGGTCAGCAGTGTAATAGTTGCTGGCAGTCGTGGAAGGAGCCCTGCATCCCACACATACCCACACACGAGCACCACAGCATCGTGGGGATGCTGCAAGCCAGCCTGTGCGTGTTGGGCAGAGAGGTGGTGTGGAGAGGAAAAAGTGTGGCCTAAGAACTGGGCACTGGGCACACTGGGGGCCACCTTGCCTTGTAGTCATAGAGTTGACAGCCATGTATTCTGCAGCACATTCTCCAGCTTGTGTGCAATACAGGCAGGAAGCACAGGACTCTGCCCATGAGATAACAGTAGGTGGGCAGAGCAGGCAGTAGGAAACAGAACCATGAGAGATGGTCAGGGCTGGTGGGCTGGGGGTGTTGGCAGGATCATGAACTGGAGCTGGGCACTGCAGAGGTAGCTAGAAGGGCAGATTAGGCTGGTGAGAATCCTTGGCTGTGAGGTCTGGAGTGGGCGTTGAGGTATTGGTCGGGGGGACAAGATGGCTGGAAGAGAGATAGCTGAGATGAGGATCGTGCTGGTCAGAGCCAGAACCTGACATGTGACGTCCCAGACTGTGCTGGTCTGACAGGCTATTTGCTGCAGGCTACGGGCGGGTTCTCATCAGGCCCATTCCATTCATCAGGGGATGGAGGAAAAGTCTGGATCATGAATGAGCGCTGGATTTTACCAAACACTTTTACTGCGTCTCTCAGACTCCTGACTTTTCCATGCTATTAATTTAGTGAATTGCATTGTTCAGTATTTTTTCTTCGATATCAGAACAACCAAATAAAGCCAGCACATGCCTGTACTACCAGTTGTTTGGAAGACTGAAATAGGAGGATTGCCTGAGGCCAAAAATTCAGGATTAGCCAGGGAAACATAACAAGATCCTGTCTAAAAGG